GGAGTCTTTCTTCCGTTTCTGGCATTGCTGTGACTGCTACTTGGAAAAGCATCTGAAATTTCTCATCTGTGTTTCAAGAAGAAACCGTTCAGGATTGAAATCAGCTCAAGAGAAGACAAGGATATAAAGAGGCGACTTGATTGCCATTTACATGTGCAGGTGTGAGTAACAAAAACAGAAGCCTGAGAGCGCTCCATTGGATAAATGTATGTAGGATTTTTAGTAGCTGAAAGCTGAAACTAAGCAAACTTTCATTTTAAAAAGTAAATCACTTCCTTTAAGCAGCTAGGGAGAAAATAAATGTGGAATTTTTTGTCTCCCCTCGTCCCATCACTGAGTATTCTTTGATCAAGTCTAAATTATGTATCTTTCTAAAAGACCATTCTGTACTTCAAACATAGCTTTTCTTGAGCTGAATCAAGAGTTAATAGATGGAAATCTGTGCCTGCACTGTGCAGAAGCAATGCAGCCTCCAGTCCACTGTGGCTATGAATAACCTCGCAGGTAAGGAAATGGGATTGGAAGTGGGAAAAGAACAAAGAACTAACTGCTCTGCTCTTCATGGTGCTTCTGAGGGTCCTCTCTCCTGTTGCTTTCACGTATTAATCCACAGGAACTTTCTAGTATGTGAGTCTGTAGGGCTGGTTATCCCTTAAAGTCTAGCCCATCTCCACTTTTGCTTTTCCTAGAGGATTTCTTTAAGGAGAAAATGTGTTTTAATTATACAATAGAAAAGAGGGCCTGCCTTCATGAGTGAAAGAAGTGCCTGAGACCACAAGGTAATGATTTACCAGGAAGAAAGCTTGGGCATAAAATATCATGGACATGGCAGCTACTTCAGTATCTGTTGATGTGCACAATTGCTCTGTGGTAAACACAGCACAACGGATGCAGGTCTCTGCTGCAGAGCAGGCTTTTAGCCCTTCACATTTCTTCCTGGAGGAAAAAAGCTTGATTTTTAAGGTGGCTCTCTATATTCACTTACTTCTTTTTTTGATGTATCTATTCAGAGACTGTTATCCAAAGAACTTGAGTTTAGTGTAATGTCTGAGTATGCCTAAGGCTTTGCCTCCATGCAGGTAGCTAAGGCAGCTATAAAACTGGAGCGGTATGTTCATTCCTTTGAGCTATTCAGTTGAGCCACCATGACTTTGCTTGTATTTTCTGCCATTACTCTGTGCTGTCTGTCTCTTCTCAACCCCTCTTCAAGAGCATAACATTTCCCATTACAGCTTTGGCTGTCCTGGACTTCCCTTGATCAGGTTTGACTTACTTTCTTTACTTGCTGCTTCAGTATGGCTTCTGTCTCTCAGAGTAGATTTCAAGGTGAATTTCTTATGGTTGGAGATTGTCAATTTTGATGGCACAGTTACCTAGATCTTTCTAGGTACTCAGCTTAGTTTTAGCATCTGAACATCATGTTTGGTTTGGCTTTTGTCCCGCAGGAGCAGAATGGATCTGTTCGTCCATCAGGAGCATCCATTAATATGAAGGAGTCTGCCAGGAACAACTTAGCCAAGAGGTCAAAAAAAGATTTTTAGCCAGGGCAGAGAGACACCTCAGTGACTTACCTTAGCTTTACTGTCTGTAACTTTGGGTTCTACAGAAAGTAGAAAAGATGTCACTTCTTCGTATTTAATTCATGATTCATTTGGTGAAGATAGTGATATTCCAACCCCAAGCTGAGCATTTTCCTGTTGTGGTGGAATTTTTTTCTCATTCAACTATAATTAGATCTTTAAAAACATATGAGACTTCTTCCTCCACTCCACCAGCCCCCCACCGGTAATGATCTGTTTCTATAGCGAATTTGAATCTGCCCTTAATGGAAGACTCTTAAAATATTTAGTAATGTGTTCCTTCTATCTGTTTCCCAAGTAGCCTTTTTGTGGTGTTTTTTATCCTAGAAGAGTAGGAGCGAGCAAGTCCGTAATAGTCTACAAAAGGGAAAATCAGCTGCCTTTAAGAAGTTTATTCTTGAATTTAATCTCAGTGTACTTGTTTGATGTTACCCAGAGGAGCAAAGAGATGCAGTGTTTCATTTGAAGATTGGTAGTTTCTTAATTATGCATGGTGTGGCACTTGCATTTGAGGTTGCCTGCTTACTTGGATGCTAGGTGTGCTGCATCAAGTTATATTGACTAAATAACAGCTTCTTGCAAGGACTATTCATCTTTTTTGTGCTGACTAAAGAGAGGTCAGAGGATTATCAACTTCTGTTATGGAAAACTAAAGGTGTGAGAACATGTAACTTGATTACTTACAAAATACTTGCTGGTTTAATTAGGGTTTATTCAATCAGAGCTAAGCCACACAAATGGCTTCTCATACAGAAGATGTCAGCTGCTGAGACACACGGAACTGCTGACTAGAGCTGAGATTACACTTTTAATAAATACTGTGTCTTTACTTGGTCCTCCGCAGTGCTCCACATTTACTGATTTTTGGCTACTACTTAGAAGTGTCCACAGTGTGTGTGTGTGTGTGTATAGGCAAATATTTAAAGAAAGATGAAAGAAGACCTGTACGTGATCCTTGAGATGTGTTGTCTATATATACATTCATACCTGATCTCTTACCCTCTTCCCTAGTGCCTCAGAAAGAAATGTGGACCATTTGGCTGAAAGAAGCAAAGTGGGAATAGCGTATCCCACCCCTTTTATAGCCTGTGGGTGATATGCATAGGGGCAAGAGCTTACCCCTCAGGGACACTTCAGAAGTAAAATTTTCTGATTTGAATAGTGCTTCTGTATAGGTACACAGAGATAAAATATCTGAGAGGGCAGTTTAGGTAATCCATTTCTCCTTGCTATACAGCATTTAGTATGTGTCAGCAACTGCCTGCAAGTTTGGTGATAATTGCTCTTGACGGTCATTCCTTAGTAGTGTACCCAGTGTTAATATTGTTGCCTCCCCCTTGTTTTGCAGCAAATTATAAGGTTTCTTTGCCACCCACTCATGTACCAGACTTCACATGAACTACAGAGAAGAGGAAAACTTTACTCAGCCTTTTGGCAATCATCCCACTTCTGGGCTTTCATTTGCCTGTGATCAGCACAACATATATTGCAGAAGTGTATGCAAATGAATATTATGCAAACTATTCTTTTCTAGTTGCTCTAAGTTATGTTAGGAGCAGGCACGCTTTTTCATGTCATTGGGCCCCAGTGTATGTGTTTTTGTTTAGCAAAGGTAATAAGCTCTGACTGATGGCATGTATGGTTATTTCTCTTTACATAAATTGCCATCAGGTGAACATCATGGTAAGAGCAGGCTATTATAAGCTACTGGCAGCTTCTTTGTAGTTGCTGAGACTATCAGCTGTGTATCAGCTATCCAAGAATTAGGTAGACCTCAATGATATTGCTAGCTTAGGGAGCAGTGTTCTCGTATCAGCTTCACCCTCAAACAAATACCCCAAACTATCAATATGGAAGCTGTCCACATAATCTCTCTCACTCCATCAGTTGCTAGAGACCCACTGACTCTTGTGAGTCTGCTGAATGGTGATTTCCCCCCAGCCTAGGGGGTTTGGTCTTGATTTCCAGATCCTGGGGATTCTGTACCTAAGGAACAGATGTTATGAGATGAACAACATTTTCAGGTCTTAAAGGTTTGATAGAGTCTTTGAAATCTGACTGTCAGATGACTTTATTTTAGCGAAAACTAAAGCAAGAGCTCTTATTCCAAAGTATCTCAAAGTTGAAGTGAGAGGAGAGAATTTTTAACGGAGAAAAATGGAATGTGGAGTAACTGTGCCTTTTCTGTGTATTTTGTGTAAGAAACAAACTTATTCAACATTTTTGCAGAGAATAATTTGCTTTTGATGGGAGTTTTGTTAAATTTTCTGTGCTGGCAAATGCTCTAAGATTCAGGTAAATTTTATAGTCTAATAGCAATGAGTTTATATTAGGCATACTTTCTTTGATATGATGGTTCATGCCAAAAATAATGCACTGGCTTCTGTAGGTTTTGAGGCTTCCTTTTACAAAACTCACTTTCTCCCTCTGCTGAACAAGACAAGCTTCATAGGCTTTGTTTGCTTTCCTTCCCCTTCTCCTCCTCCTTCTTCCTCCTACACTTTGGATGTGTGAGTTCTGATTTGTGTGTGTTTTTTTCTTTCTGCCAGCTAGTCTCTGCCCTAAGTGTCTGGAGTAAACTGCACTGAACTATTTAATGCTTTTTCAAAGTATAGTGTTAAAATCAAGGAACTGCGCAGGATGCTAAGCTATTAACCTGACTTACTGGCAGATGAACTTGACAAATTGATGCAGTACTCAGAGACATGTCTGCTCTGCACTCTTTCGCTGAGGTTTCCACCTCCGCTACAGCATCAGCAGAAGGGGGTGTGTGATTACCCTCACCAGAAGCTTATGCTGAGAGAGTAGGTCTACAGGGAGATGCCAGACTCTTCCCTGGCAGGTGTTTGTCCCCTCTTCTGTGCTGTGAATGAGTTAAGCTCTGACAGGGAAGCTGAGCAGGTTGCTGGCCCTACCTCCCTAACTGTCACACCAGTAGCGTTGGCATGGGTGGGCAATTTATGATTTGCTTTTAGTAAAGCCACTAATCTGAGTTTGATAAAATAAGCATTAAAAAAACCCTTGACTTTTGAGTTTCTGTTTTAAATGTGCTAATTAGTCCCTGGCTTAATGTAATTAATAGTTATGGTGTTGGTGTAAAATAATTACCATGGGTACGAATGCTTCCTAACACTGTTGGAACAAATAGTCTAATTTCCCTGAGGAGATGTAACACTCTTATATTAATATGTATTGGTGTCACATTGCTGGAAAGCTGATCAGTTCTCCTGGGTACTTATTACATTTAAGAGTTGTGTAGCTGGGAATGTAAGATTTGGCGGCTGCTCCTAAATTGAACAAGTGCTGAATGAAAACTTGTAGCCTTATCAGTAGGAGATCAAAGACTTCAAGAAGAAAGTACCTGGTTGTTGCTCACTTCTTCAGCAATTTCTTTTTTACTTGTGTCTTTGTACAATGTAGGCAAACAGTGCCAGTGATCCGTGGTCCAGCTGGAATCCTGGGAAGTCTGGGAACTGGGATAATGGAAGTGCTGTTGACAGCTGGGCGACGAAACCTGAAAGTGCAGCTGGCCAGAGAAACAATGCTGCAAATAACTGGGAGGCAGCAACAGCATTTGGTCATCCACAAGCATATCAAGGACCAGGTGTGCTAATATTGCTCATATCTTTTAATAAATTGGAGTAGGTGAACAGCAGAGGTAACAATTGCTTAATCTTTCGTAACTATAGAACATGGCTTATTTAAAAAACAAAACAAAACTAGTTTCCTGGTAGCACATTGCCACATGGGTAAACAGGACACTAAAATAATAGGTATTTAAAAAAAAATAAATCATATACACAGTAACAGACATCTCAAACTTGTATAGAAATCTGGCAAGACAAAGTCTTGTGCCTGCATGATCTATTCTCAGGCATGTTGTTCAACTTGCGTAACTGGAACTTTTAAACACCCTTGAATTTGTGCCCTCAGGCCTGTAAAGAAGTAGTCTTAGGTCCTTAATTGTAGGAAGTGCCTAGCCTTTCAGAAGGCTTCTCTACCTTTTGTAGTAAAAGCATAAATTAAGAGGAGAACTCATAAGTGGAGAATGTTAACCTGGAGTCTATGAATGTGGAACACTATTGAATTCATCTTAACACACCAGAATCTCTACTTTCTTTTCTTTTTTTTTCTCCCCTATCCCTCAATGTGTTTCTAGTGTAGTATTTTGCAGGTAGTATTTGATGGGGATGGTGGTAATTGAGGAGGGATCATAAAATAGAAGGCCGAACTAGATCTTAATATATTTACCTTGTTGATGTGTGAGTGCTAAGGTAGATGCTTCTGCTTTTAAAGAGAAAATATTTAACTTTCTCCTTTCCCTCCCCCCCAGCCCCATCCTGTACTTCAGCAGCTGCTGATGACGATGATTGGGATGATGACTGGGATGACCCAAAATCAGCTTCACCATCTTATCTTGGTTACAAGGAAACTGAGGCATCGGAGGCTGGGGGGATCCAGCGTGGAAATTCTCGTGCAGCTGCTATGAAGATACCACTTAACAAGTAATGGAAAATGCGGGGCAAATGTGTATATGTTGAAGAGAATTTGAATTTGTCAAGATGTGTAAATGTGTGACCATTCAACATTCTTGAAATATGCAATGTTACGATTACAATTTGGGGGTAAAAGTGGAGATGGATTTGTCACTCAGCATTCTCCCTGTGTGATCAGAGAACACAGATCCATGAAAGCCTGAAAGTACATGACAATGCTGTATAATTTTTTGAGGTGTTATACAGGCAAATGACACTTTTACAGGGTCTGAACTTCTGAACCTACTGGTCTTTAAATTTTAGTGGGCCTTAATGTTATGTGTGCTTAGGCAAAATAAAAGGTGACGGGTGGCTTCTCCATACAGCGAGACTGACCAGACCTGCTGCCCCAGAGTTCATGAGCAATTTGAGTTGCTAGGAGTGGGGAAAAGTTCTGCTTTCCTGTGACTGTATTTGGGTTGATTCTTGAGCCACAGAAAGCTTAATTTTTATTTTTTTTTAAGATAAAAATCATGTGACAGCATGAAGCTTGTCATGGTTATGCTAGCACTATCTCATGTTAAAACTTTAGTTTATTCTAAAACTACTGTTACTCTGAGAAGCTACTAGCTACTGTGTGGTAATTGAGTGGGTGAAAGCAGAGTAGAAAAGAAGTGCAGAGTAATGGTCTCCTCTGGTAGGTAACTAAAATTAACAACGTCACGCAGAGACAGTTGATTTTGTGGATCAGTGGAGGCTTTGTCCAGTTTTGCAACCATACCTTTGCATCATTGTGGCATCTACTTGTTGGAAACCCATTTAGTATAACCAGCATAAACACACCTTATTTTAAGAGTGTTATTTGTCTGTGAAGTAAGTGCTGCTCGTCGTGTTTCCACAAGCAGGCAGTAGGTTGGCAGTACCTGAAGGGCTAAGTTTCTTCCTGATTAGAAAGAGAACCACCATTTGCTTTTTGTAAGACCTTTTGCACAGGCTTTGAGGACATGACAGTGCTTTTTCTGTGGCTTTCTAATTGGTGGAGAAATTATTTAACATAACTTATGTTTAGAAGCACTTGACAAGTCTGCAGCTCATCGTTCCTTGAGGTGCTCGAGTTCTCATCATTGGAGATGGCAGGACAATGTGCGTGAGCACGTGCGTGTGTGTGTGTTCCCAGAGAGGGTAGGCTGCAGGGGAGTGGCAGATGTTCCTTTGTGTCCTGCTGTTATGTTTGCTCTGATGGGCTGCAGAGCACACGTAGCTACTTTGCCTTGGAAGAAGGGGCCTGTGTTACACAAATAAGATTTGGAGGTCAATAGCTAAAACTTTTCTGCTTTTTCGGGTCAAATTGTTGGTGAATTAATCCACATCAAATCCTTTCTATACTGGAGAAATATTAAGAGTTTTTTTCCTGTAGTGGTAGGTAATTCTGCATATGTTGAAGGAAAATACAGAATAAACTTACCACTTTGTTTTATTGTTAGATTTCCTGGATTTGCAAAACCTGGGATGGAACAATATCTGTTGGCAAAGCAGCTAGCAAAACCCAAAGAGAAAATTCCCATAATTGTAAGTTGGGGACATGTGTGTAGCTTTTATGTGTGGGTGGTGTGGTTTGTTTTGTGGTTGGGGTTTTTTGGTTTGTTTTTTTGTGGGTTGTTTTTTTAATCTTCCCCACCCTTCCCTTTTTCCCCAGCTTAACTTTTAGCCTCAAGGTTGCTGCATGTATTTATGTCAGAAGAAACTGATACTGAACATATAATTAGAAATAGAACTGTCATAATAAAACTGTGTGCCATTTAAGCATTTTAAAATTGTGGTAGACTGCATTTCAGAGTCATACGTCATTGAGGGCTTTTTCAGGGTCAGATCTTAACTCCTTTTTTCTAATGTGCTGGTTTATTATTATTTATTATTATTATTATTTTCAGTACTATTTTCTCATGCTGGATCTGCATTACTTGTGATCATGAAAATAAGCCTTTTTGGGATTGGGAGGCAGAGCAAATGCATTACACTGTCTATTCATTATCTAGATAGTTATCTAATACGTAGGAGCTCAATTCATAAAGGTTTGCAGTACTCAGTCATGATAGTCAGGTCATCTTCTGATCTAAAAATCAAACTCGGCTAGATATGTGCTGTTCTAGTGAAATGTGATTGAAGTAACAATCCCTAGAATTCACCACTCCTTTGCTATTATAATTGTAAAATACTAAAATTGCTATATAAATTGTAAAATACCAAAAAGAAACACAACTGTGGTCAATCATCTCTGGTGCCTCTATTTCCTGACTACCAAGCTGTTGCTGAAATCAATGGAAACTTTTAAATGAAGAGAAAGTATTTGTCTCCTTGTTTGCAGCTGGTACAACATGATGTATTTAAAGATAATATTTGCAATTTCTTACAGATTGGTGATTACGGCCCAATGTGGGTTTATCCTACCTCTACTTTTGACTGTGTGGTGGCAGATCCCAAAAAAGGTTCTAAAATGTATGGTCTCAAGAGCTACATTGAGTATCAGCTGACCTGCACTGTAAGTGTGTCTGAAACAGGGTCTTCTCTCTCGCAAATACGGGTCATTTGTACATATAGATAATATAGTGTGTGTGACTTGGTGACAGAGTTGTAAGAGTAAGTGGTAGTTGTCACACTTTTTCAACAAAAAGTTACTTTGTTCTAGCATTTGAAGTTCTTCTGTAATTACAGATTCAAGGCTCTAAGTCATAAATGTTATTTATGTTTCACTTATTATTCCGGTCATACTTGCTTCATGTCACTGTCTATACATGCCTGTCAAAATTCAGACCTGTGTTTCTCTTACAGAACACTAATCGGTCTGTCAACCACAGATACAAGCACTTTGACTGGTTGTATGAGCGTCTCCTGGTTAAATTTGGATTAGCCATTCCAATCCCATCTCTTCCAGATAAGCAAGTAACAGGTAATTATTCCCAGTTGTGAATTCATGTGTTGGGAAATAAGGAGATCGCTTTTTTTACAAGGTTCAGTTATTTCTTACTGTTTGTTTTTCCCACTATTTTTAAGGAAGGTATCAAAAAAACCCCAACCTTTCACCATTCAAAATTTATGATGAGTTGTGATGGCATATTGATAATAAAATATCAGCACTAAGAACATCATTTCAGAACTCAAGTTTACTTATCTAGACCAGTGATTTAAAAAAAAAAAAACCCCAAACAAAAAAAAGCCCGAGTTACTGCAGAACAGAATATTTACTATTGGAGAGAAGAGATAATCAGCAAATATGGAACATTAGTAGCTGTCTGGAAAAACAGTTTTTGAGGGTTTTTTTGCGGGGTGTGAGGGTGTGGTTGTCTTGCATTCAATTGTAAATATGTTATGTTTTAGGAGCTTTGAAGCAAAGCTCCTGGAGGAAAGGCAGCATCCGCTGACAAACTAGGGTTTTTCTGCTACTAAGTAAGATGTTGCAGCGGTTTCTCCTGTTGCTTGATTTCACACTTGATTTAGGAAGCATCTTTCATTTGTATAACAGTCTGCTCTGATTTGATGTCAGCTCCGCTTGACCAAACTTTCTGAAGCTTATGGAAGTCTTTCATTCTGACTTCAAGAAAAGTGGGACTGGACACTTTAAATGCTCATGCATTCAGTCATTGCATTTGAATATGGCAGTGCCTGTGTATTTTCAGTGGTCTCTGGCTTCCTTTCTACAAGGGTGTGATGGAGTGCATGCAAAGAAAAGAAATGGACACCTGCATAGAAGGAAAATGCATTACTTTTGCCTATTTCCACTAGTGTGTTTTCTGGTAAGGTTTTTATACAGCTTTTAAGACAACCAGCCAAAGAGAGACATTCAAAAGCTGGTGTGTTGCCAGCCATGTGGCTGTGGGCATCACTGGAAACGCAGCAGCTCTGCTGTGTTTGAAGAAAGCTAAGCATTGATGCAGATGCTGGGATAAATGCCGAGGAAACTGAAAAGTGAGGAAGCGACTTCCTCGCCTCTCCTGCCCTTAGTCTCGCGGTTAGAATTCACCAGTATTTTTGCTTAAACATGGGCGTGTGGACTGAAAGGAAACCAGAAGACCTGATGGGATCTCTACATTTCATTGTAACTGTATTTTAAAAGCCTCAGGAGTTTGGCATCATAGCTAAAAGCTTGCCTGTGGATTTCTGTCTTCTGGAGACTGTGGGAGAAGATAACTTGTCTCGGAAAACAAAAAAAATGCATGCCTATTTTTCTCTCTCTTGAAACATTATGGGAAATTCTGGAGGAAAAAAAAAATGATGCTGTTTTTCATTGTGTTTAGGAGGCTTCTTTCTGAAGGCTGTCTAGACAAAGTATTTCTGTCTGTTAGTCTCAGCAAAGCAAGACCTTTACCAATAGACTGACTTTGCTCAGGATTGAAATTTGCTGGTGATGATATGCCTGATGACCAGCACATAACTTCCAAATGTTACTGCTCCTGTTGCTTTGCTTTTCCTGGGCTGGCAGAAATGCTGCAGAGATTTCAGTATAGATTAAGGCTGGAACAAGGTATTTCTGCAGGTTATGTAATGTCTCTTCCGTAGTACCTGATTTTTTTTTTTTGTAATTTCTTGCCTAGCTAATTTGCAGATGTACCTGTACCTAGAATTCATTTTTCACTAGTTGTGTTCTTTACCTGCTAGTCTTGCTAGTTTCCGTATCTGCAATTTTTAAAAAACAAAAAAGACCCAGAAAACCCCCACAATAACCTCAACCTTGTGGAGCTGCTGCCATAGTAACTACACAGTAGAATTATGTTGAAAGAGTACGTGTGTTCAAGGTTTGTCATCTGTGCTGCTATGGAAATTGGAAGAGTTGGGTGCTAGAGGAATCTCTCATTCCTTTCAAATACATCCTATTCACTATATGCTTTAGAAGTCTGACGTTGTGCATTTATTTTAATTGGGAAAGATTCTCTCAAGAAGACACAGTTTGTGCTAAAACTCAAAGTTTCTTGTAAATATACAGCGATGATGCACTACTGGTTTAAAAAAATGAAATTGGCTACTTAGTTTGTGTTAAAAAAATCTCTTAACTACCAAAAAAATCAGTTAGTCTTACATATATGCCTTCTAACTGGTTCACACATACAATTTACTGAGATTTTCTTGATTTTTTTTCCCCCCCCCCAACACATTCATTTACCTATATAGAAATACATTTATGGGAGGTACTGCTTTTTTAAATCTGCTATTCATATCTGAGCAGTCCAACTTCAAATGCTTTGTTAGCTAGAATGTGACAACTTGGAAAGTAAGTAGTTCCTTTTTCTCCAATGTTTTTGAGCCTTACATTGACCAGTGATTTACTAGACTGTATCGGAAAAATGTCTGCATTCTGAGCCTGTGTCTAGCTTCTCTTGGATCACCTGAATAAATAATTTTTCCGCTTGAAAGTTTATTAATCTTCTTCCTGAAAAATCGATTTGAATTGTAGGTGGGTATTATGGTTTTTTAATATTTCCTGACTATCTTTTAAAGGAGGAGTACTCAAGGTCAGTAACCAATACACTGTCATTTAAGGTTCTTCTGATTTTTGTCAGCGTAGTGTGTTGTTCTTGTAAGTTCTGAGTCTTTAAATGGTTAATAACTCACCAGATGAATTACAGATTGTGTTTTAATTTAAAAAAGAAGAAAGAAAAGGAAAAACCTGAGCATACAAAGAGTAGAAATGTAACAATTACTATTCAACATGCAACAGGGCGCTTTGAAGAAGAATTCATCAAAATGCGTATGGAGAGACTGCAAGCGTGGATGACGAGGATGTGTCGCCATCCTGTTGTCTCAGAAAGTGAAGTTTTCCAGCAGTTTCTTAATTTCCGAGATGAGAAGGTAGGAAATAAAGTTCACGTGCAGACTGAGATGGAGGAATTGTTCCCCCTGCCATCCCCCTTTGAGCTACGAGTTCAGCTCTGCGGCCCTCTCATTTGCCTGCCCCGCTATGGGCAGCAGCAACAGGCTGAAAACCGCTGGGTTTGTGAACGGAGGTAGCTGGCTGGTTGAAATGAGGCGTGGAGCTGCCTGTGTGAAATGCGCTATGCTGTTCCAACACAGAGGTGCACTTGAAAGTAGCTTTGTTGCCAGTCTTTAGTGGACAGTTTGTGTCCTCCAGCAGAACAGCAGCGTGTGTAGCAGCTCTTCTGGCCATTGCCCTGCTCTGTCAGTGTTGGACCTACTAACTGCTGTGGGCCTCTGATCCATACTGCTTTGCTAAGAGAAGCTACTTTGTAGCAGATCTAGGATGTGTCTGATCCTGTGTTATATGTAAAAACAAGACACACACACACAAAACCACACACACACACACACACAAAACCACACACACACACACAAAACCACACACACACACACACAAACACACACACACGCGCGCACACGCACACACACGCGCGCACACGCACACACACGCGTGCACAAACACACGTGCACACAAACACACGCACACGCACAAACATGCACACACGCACACACAAACACACATGCACGCACACACACATGCACGCACACACACGCACACAAACACACGCACACGCACGCACACACACAAACACACAAACGCACACACAAACACACATGCACACACAAACACACACACACGCACGCACACAAACACACGCACGCACACGCACGCACACACAAAAACAAAAACACGCACACACACAAAAAAAACCACACACACACGCATCCCCCGACCCACCCCCCGAACCACAATTTTCTCCTGGATGGGTTGCGATAGGATTATGCTGCAGTTTTACCTGATACAATCAGCCCTTTTTTATATCCGTGCCTCCCTCCACCACCCCCAGCATTTTCTGATGTTTTTTTAAGAGGTTTTAGTATCATCACCTTTATAAAATGATGTAAGTAATGGTTTCTTCATGACTGAACTCCTATTCTGTTACTAATTTGGATATCTGAGGAAATAAACCAGAAAAGCAATGAGGAAATAAACAGGAAAACACTGCTGCTTTCTTCTCAAAATAGTCGTACTTGTAAATATACATAGATTTTTCTGAAAAGGTAAATGATCCTTGGAAGTTTTGAAGACTAGACTGGATAAAGCCCTGAGTAACTAAGGTCACAGCTGACCATTTTTGAGTAGGAGGTTGGACTGCAAACCTCCTGAGGTTACTTCCAGCCAGAATTATTCTGTGATCTTGTAGGCAGAGGCTTAATAATATAGTAAGTAGCAGTCCTCGTGGAGTGCTATTTGGATGGCTAGTGGAGAGTTGTGTAATTGTGCTAGCTAGTCAGCAGTTCTTAGCTTGCTTATGGACTGATATAAAGAGAACAGATGTTGCAATGCATGTGGAATTTTTAGCCTTTTTATCTATTCCCACTAAGAACTTAGTATGGCAATTGCATAATAGTCTCATGATCTTCTTGAGTAGCTTCTGGTATCAGCACTATCACATGCAGACACAGCTGAATATAATTGCTCTTACACTGTATTTCAGTAATATACAAGAACGGTCTGTTTACCCCAGGATCTAGAAAATAAAGTGCACGAGAAGGAAGGGGAGAAACTCTAAGAAACCTTGCCCCCATCGAAACTTTCATTTAAAAGATTTTAATTTATGAGTGGTCTATTGGTTAACTGTTCACCTAAACATTTCATTCACTGCTAAAGTACATGCTTTTAAAGATACATGAACAGTGGTGGTCCAACTTTGGGTTGTTTTCTTTTCCCCTGTTTTCACAAGGAGTGGAAAACTGGAAAGCGGAAGGCGGAAAAAGATGAAACTGTAGGAGTCCTGGTCTTTTCTACAATGGAACCAGAAGCTCCTGACTTGGACATGGTAGAAATGTAAGGTGGTTTCTTTTTGCTTGGACATTATGCGTCTGGATATATGACAGATACTGAGCTAATATAAATAATAAGCATGCACGTGTCTTCATGGGTTTGAAGAGGTGCTTATCAAGGCAGAGCTTAAAAATTGTTTGAATATGAGATTTTTCATGTCAACCCCTCCAAAACTTGGTGGAACTACATGTGGTGTCTGTGACTTCAGTGGCTGAATGCTGATCCTAAAAATATTTGTGCAAAACTAGTTGATGAGATAAAGTACTGGCAGATCCTGTGGAGTTGCATTTTATATTGCTGTGGAAGTATATTTTGATCTCTGATCCTTCAGTTGTGAACAGTTCTAAAGTGTGCTAGACTTAGCAAGTAGCTTAGGGTAACTGTAGGTGGACCATCAAGGAAAACTATGTTTCTGTACAATACTTGTGTATAATGTACACACAGTATGATTCTAATATCTGGAATCCATAGAATGCTGTTAAAAATGAAAGGTGACTTAAATTATCAAATATAATTTTAAATGAGTTACTACATTTTTTTGGGGTATCCTTCTGCAAGTGCTAATATATACATATCTAACAAATATATCTATTATATATACATACACTTTTTATGTATAGTTCTCTTGGTGGTAGACCTTTGGGTTTCATAGAGTGAAAGACTGGATTGACTCTGCAGCCTTTATTTCACTCCTTGAGGCTAAATCATTTTTCTTAGAAGATATGTAGTATGTATGACATGCTTTGCTTGCTGTTGTAGAACATAGAAACTTGGATAATAATTTGTGTCTGAAACTGGATAAACTAGACAGAAGTGTTTATAGTAGCAAAGCAGTAGTGTGCCTACACCTGGAAATACCCCATGTGATACGGAAATATCCCTAAGAGATGCAGTTCATATTAAGATGTATACAATAGCTGTGTGGTAGCAGTTCTGTACTAGTAAAAAAGATGGACATTTTTAGGTCACTTCCACTTTGAACGTGAGGATTTCAAACTTGACTACTTTTCTGAAGTGATGTGTTTTATAAATATTCCAGTGGTATAAAAGCTGAAGGGGTGAACCAGAGGGAGGATTTTGTATACGGGGTGCAGGAGAGAATTGAGTCTGTATTGCATACAGAGCTCTGGCAGGGAATGATTGGCAGATGGTCTGCTAACCAGTTTGTCCCCAAACAGGGTGAGGGCAGGCAAACAGCCTCTGGGAAATGCTTCCCTGAGGATTGGCTCCTGGGCCAGGGCTGGCAGCCTGGGCTAGTTCTGGGGACCTGTCTCCAAGCATTGCAGGGGTGGCTGTAACACCTCAGGCATCCACACCGTGTTCCAGTGCCTGGGGATGTCTCAGGGTGCTGCTAAAAGTGTGTATGAGCATGGCCTTGAAAGCCATTGCTCCTGTAAGTGGACAAACCAGCTTGTTCAGTAGCTCTTAGGTTCTTCAGTGAAAAGATGCTCTTTACTGAAACAATTTTGCTAGTACTCTGTCAGTCCCATGTCATCCTGGTTTTGATGGAAGGATGGTAATCCTGCACTGGTTCATGAACTTTTTCTATGACCATGATACTGTAAAGTATGAAGTACAGAAAATTAAGAAAATTAAAGGATAGTTTGCTACTGGGAAAATAGGAGTGAAATAAGGGCTTCTTGGAAAGCCTAGGTTCTGTTTCTGTGCAAGTCACTCTTTGGATGGGGTTTCTGGCTGAGAAAGGAGGTAGCAGTGGGGAGGTGGGAGCCTCAGGGTGGGTGGGCCACAGATGGAGCTGCTGCTGTGGCTCTGAGGAGTTGCCTAGGGTTGCCTCGCCGTGAGAGCTGTCTCATACAGGATTTGGCTGAGAGCATTCATAAGATCTGATGCAGTCTGAATAATGCTTATTGAAAATTAGAAAATATATGTCTAGTTTTCTTTTGTAGAGGTCAGAGCATTGCTGTATATGCAGCGCTATGTTAGTGGAAAGCTTTGATGGCTGCATGAAAACATGCTTAGAGGGGTAAAAAGGCCTGTACTAATTCAGAATTCTTTTGAGCATCACTGTTTTTTTTCTCTCAGACAATAACACAACTGAACACAATGGTATTGTCAGTATAATACAAAGTTATGCATATATATTTCTCTAGAAGAACTGCTATATTAATTTTTATGCATCTATTTTAGACTTTTATTAAAATATCTGGAAAAATTATTATTTTCTTTGTATTTGTTCATTGCTGTATGCATTTTGCTACTTCTGTTACTCTAACATCTAATTTCCTATCAATGTGGGGTTGTTCTATTTGTGAAGTGCTCTAGGGATGCATTTTCCTTAAATTGGATTTTGCTGTTCTGTTATTATTTGATCTTGTTGGGGAGGATATGTAGCTAGTAGGCTTTTTTTTTTTTTAAGGTAATTAATTATAGTAAGAATGATAGTTCCAGTACCATGTATTTAAGAGGGGGAAAAGTAGAATAAAAAATGTCTCTATCTGAAGAAGGAAATTCTGACCTCAGTGAAATGGCAGAGATTTCAAGGAATTCATTATTTCTCTGTGGTTTTTTTTAAGACCTACTTGACCATTTCAGTATTGCATTTCAAGTTAGTGTAATGCATCTGTTAAACTGGGTTTTTTTGGTTTGTTTTTTTTTCTTTTTCCAAATGCCACAGAGAGCAGAAATGCGATGCAGTGGGTAGGTTCACCAAAGCAATGGACGATGGAGTTAAAGAGCTGCTGACAGTGGGACAAGAGCACTGGAAGAGGTGTACAGGGCGTAAGTGTCTATTCTGAACTCAGCAGTCATTTCTGTGTTACTGTTCTCTATGGGTTTTTTACACTGTTTACATTTTTGTTGTTTGTAATTCAAGGCACATCTTAAAACTAAAGGAAGTCCTAAATTATCATGAGGCTTGTATGGCATTCTGGCTGCTTCCAGTGTCTGAGAGTACAGATTGTGCAACTTTTTGGGGTTTTGGTTTTTTCTTATAACAGAAATAGCTGGTCCCTGCCCATAGGTTTAAAAATATTAAAAGTGAAATAATTCTTGTAATCCAGCTAAAGCTCTTGTTGGACCTGTTCTTGTATATTTGTCGTTTATCTACATTTTAGTGACATGGGCAAAGTATACTTGTCGATCTGATGAAAGAATAAATGACTGCATTTTATTAAGCCCTTATTTAGGATTCTTGCATGCCAGGAAGAGGGATTTAAAGATTAAATCAGTTTAAAAAAGAAAAGAAAAAACCAACTTGATTCTAACTTGATCTTTAGCCCAATTCTTTTTCTCCTATCTTGTCTCTTCCTTCCCACAGATATTTAGGGTTGCAGAACTTCACACCAAGTCCCTATGACTCTGCCTGGGCTCTAATATCCTAGTCCACAGCAGTGTTCAGTGTTTGTGGCCACCACAAGGCAGCTATTGAAAGGAAGCAGGTACTACAGCTGAGGATCATAATAAGAAACACTTCAGGGCAGGCTGTAGTGTCTGGTGACCAAAGACCTGTCACATAAATCTTCTCAAATCATCTCCATTTTTTTCTTTTTTTCCTCTCTTGAACTCCCACAAAACCCCATTGTCCCCAGACTTGGAAGTAGGTACATCTCCTGAGTTGTGTCTTTGCTGCTTTCTAATCTAACACTGCAGTTGAGTATATGGGGGTGACCGGAGGGAATGGGGTGTACAGAAGCCCAGTCTCTTCTGGTAGTGATTACATTAGAGCTTAATATCTGTAAGATGTGAACTTTAAATCGTTTACGTTTCTCCACTTTGAACAAGAGGGTTTCCTTCTACACGTCACTGACCCTCTTGCTGGTCAAAATTAGTCTAACACAGGACACAGCTCTAACGTTGTACAGATCTCGCTTCACTAGGGGATGATACTTCAGGGGGAAGTGGAGACCAGAATGAGGAATAAGGTCACTCTCATATGAGACTGGAAAAATAGCATTGCTTTGTAGCTGCAGAAGCAGTGATCAAAACCACCATAGTTAAGGGCTGTCTGTGACTTGTGCTTTACAGTAGCAATGCAATATTTTGTTCGCTGATAAAATCTCCCTAAACCTATGACACTAGTGCTTTAGGTATGGAATGACTCTTCTCGTGCTTACAGCTATTAATCAGTTAGCATGAACACAGTAAGCCAGATGTGATTGTGTTAAATATTTTAACTTTTTACTTTCCAGAGGTTCATACTGAATAGAAAAAGGAGACTGGTAAATTGAGACATGCAAAACTGAAGAATTTCAATAGTCTCTTAGGTTAAGTTTCCTGTGCGCTCTAGTCCCGACTCCTAGTCAGAAGTATTTTTGACACTTCCTGAGCAATAGTTACGTGCATTCCATTCCATGATATTTAAAATGACTGACAGTGGAAACTTGTTAAATGCAAGTGAAAAGAAACCAAATGTTCTTCACGCAAGTTTCCACTGGGGATTCAGTAACAAGTTAATGGCTGATGACAGAACTGTAGTACTCGGAATGGTAGCTGTTGTTATGAGAAATACCAGTTCTCATAAATAATCTAACTTCTGGGCAATAACTTGATCAAAGATATCAATAAAATTATGCGGTTTGGCGGGTTTGTTTTTTGGTTTTTGTTTTGTGGGGGTTTTTTTGCCACACAAAGAGGTTCCTCTGTGAAAATCTGATTGTGTGGGATGCTAGAGCAACTAAAAAACATGCTGTTTACCTGGACAGTGTAAATATGAGCCTGAATACATATGTCTGACAACAAAAGGCACATCTACTTGTTTTTTTTTTATTGCTGGTATAGGTAGCTTATAAAAAATGGCCTTCATGTTTCAGATTGCTTTTTAGGCCTCTGGGGTGGTGGTATTCAAAGTGTTAGTAATGAGTGCATTCATAAATCACAGCTTATTGACTTCATTGTGAGGAAGCAATTTATGCATATGTTTTCAAGAAATAGATTATAAAAAACAATTTTGTTATGCAGGTACTTACATCGATTTTTATCCCTAGGTAATCTTGGTTTCTTGTGCTTTCAAAGATAAAATGCATGGTTTGGGGAGAGTTTAGGTATTATAGGTGTGTATAATAATCCCCTATCTTAAAATATTAATGAGATCTATTCTCCATATCACTGCAGCACTTCCCTCCCCGGAGGACAGAGTCTGCTCATGAGGGGGAGAAAAAAAATCTCACTGTATGCATAGGAGGACTGAGCTAGGAATGCAGTGAGATTTTTTTTTTTTTTTAAATAGTAGTCACACACAGTTTCCCCAGCTGTTTGTGGCTTTCAGGAATCCAGAATGCAATTGCTTTATCCAGCTTTGGAATGTCTGTAGCAGGGGAGGGGATACAAATGTAGTTGTAAATGCTTCACTAGAGGAAATGTAAAAAAAAAAAAAAAAAAAATCCAAAAACTAATGACACCTGCTTCTATTAAGTTTTGGAAATACTGCAGATCTAGTCTCACTTACCCTTTTGGGTTTTTACTTCTGTTTCCGTCTTTCCCCCATCCTTTTCTCCCTTTCAGCACTACCCAAGGAATACCAGAAGATAGGAAAAGCGTTGCAGAGCCTGGCACTGGTTTTCAGCACTAGTGGATACCAAGGTACTCCTGTAGCTTCATTTGTACTTTGCTTAACAAAAGGTATTTTAGTTACATCATGCTACATATTTTGCCAAAGATCTTAGTGCTTTCCTCTTTGAACTTCAGATGTCAAACGTTTCTGGAAAAAATACTAAAAATGTGTTTCCCTGTGCGTATTATGGGGTTTTTATATTCTAGTCTGCAATCTTGTTTTCTCTCACTGTATAATCGTGTGGTTGGGGATGGTGGTGGAGTTTAGCTTGATCTCATTAATAAATAATCTAGTCACTGACCTAACTGACAAAACATGCTGTAGCATTTTTTTGTGATATCAAAGGAAAGGGGAGAAAATGCAGCCTTGAAAATATCTGTCACTTTTTTCATGAAACCACTACTCCGTATGGGAACAGAAAACTTATTACAAGATTTTTGTATGCCATTATGTGTGCTGAAGGGATGGCTACTGTGGCCTTTTCTTGTCCTTCACCTTTCCTTGTTGTTTAAAAGCCCTAAAACGGAGACTGTCATGTTAGGTATGAAAGCTGTGGGATTGAAAAGGAGGGCATCAGTTGCTCAAAGTTCTCCTAAAATGTAGTCTTTAGGCCAAATTTTAAATCCTGCTTTGATATGTTAAGTTCTGCTGATGTTTTCCAGATAACTGAAAAATATTTCCTCATATCCCAGGGAAGCTAACTGAGTTAATTTTCTCTGGGAGTCTATTGTCAAATGTATTTTTTTTTTCCTTTTTTTCCCTAGACTTAATAGCAAAATTGCTCTGTTCTAAAACCTTAAATGTTATAGCATAGAGGCTTCCTGAAGTCTCTCTGTCTTAAGAGAGAGTCCGTCTTAGGACTTTCAGTTGACCAGTACATACTCTGACTGCTCATCTATCCCTTGCTTTGTACTCTTAAAGCTTTTTGCCCCATAAACCATGTACTAGAATGCAACCATTTCTGAAACTCAGATTTCTCTGCTGGAAAAATTGGAAATAGGCATAGTCCCTGCAGTTTGTTGTCGTCTTTGTCCTATACTTCAACAGGATGACTGCTTAGTTAGAACTGGAATGTAGCATATTGCCTAAAACATTACTTGTGGATGTGAGAACTGAGTAGGGGATTTGCATAGTTCTGTACTCTTAGCATGGCTTAGAAAACTGTAAATTCTAGCCACATGCAATTTGTAACCAGAATTCTTGAGAAAGGACCGAAAATTGCCTGAACTATAACACATGTTCTTTTGCCAGGGTAAAGGGAAAACAAGATGGCTTAAAGCTAGGATGCAAAATTGCACATCAACCTTACAAAGGAAAGCTTCAGTTTGATTTCCAATAGCTTGGAATGGTGTGGAAAAATAGATCCTATGATTCTTGGGAACAAGGCAAGGATGTTTCTCTTTGCTGTTTGCCTGGTTGTACCTGGTTGCACCCTTGTATCTTGCTGAGGAAAATGCTGTTCCCACTGATGCCTTTGTCCTGATTCCATGTATCTTGCTCTTTTTAATAACTGGTACACCAGTGTATTTTTTCAGAATTAATAATGGGATTCTTTGCTTTTTAATTTGAGTTCCCAGGAAGAGAGAATAAGTGCAGTGCATGTGTTGTTTTAAATGTCTGTGTCACTGCTGCCCTCACTCTGTCCTGCCTGCTGTTGGTGTACAATTTCACTTGATGGTTGCCTCAGGTACAGGTCTATGGATTAAGCAAACTCTATACAAGAGATGTGAGCACCTGGATTTAAACTGATAGGATCCACCTTTCCTGATCTCAATATTTTAAAAAAGGCACTAGACTTCTTCATTCAAATGAAGAAGTACTAGCTAGGCTGAGTATGGGGTATGGTTTTTCTGGACTATCAGTAAAGAGGAATGGCTCCTTCAGACATGCTTAAAGGCACTCATTTCAGTTGGGAGCGGAATATCTTCATGCTCTTTTTTTTTTTTTTTTTTTTTTGAATTAAATGAGTTCTGGAATCTTAAGCATATAGGCTTAAGCTTCATTGCAACAACCGATTTGCTGACACAAATATTTCCAGCTACTGGTAGCTGACTTTTGGCATACTGAATACACTGTTAGTTGGTTCATTTGCACAGTTAGGATGGGGATGTATCTCCTGTCCTTACCTCTTTCATGAGTGCTGCCTGCATGCTCTGCAAAGCTTTATTATGTGTGGTGAATGTCTACTGCCTTCTCTTCTGATTTCCAGCCTAAATTGTTTGATTGCCCTTGTTAAGCTGACTCATTTGAGCTCTTTTCCTTATGCTGCAGAAGGAGCCTTATCAATTAGTTGCCAGCCACAGTGCATATTAGGAATCTGTCTCCAGTATTTGCAGAGCCAAGGGTACCTTTAAAACTATTAAGGATACATTGAGAGGTTCTCGTTTAACTTGGCCATGGGCCTATGTATTGTCTGATTGGTTTTAAGGACACGTGCCTTGAATGTATGATCCTGGTCCAAAAATGCATATTGGACAGTTCCAGGATATGCCTGGAAGTGTCTTGCAGCCTGACACTGCGTTGCCCATCTTACTATGTCATACGATGCTCTGAAGTTATTGCAGTCTTAAATAGCATGGCTTCTCTTTTGGGGCGCCAAATCTGGCTGAGTCTTTCTCCTATATTAAGAAAATGTGAATGGCTGTGGTATGCCACTCAACCATAGTAAGACCTCCTAATCCTACATCAGCCCTGAGGAATTTTGTTAGGCAGCTATATGTGTGTTTCGCTATCCTGCCAGCTAGCAACAGGCGCATCTTGCTTGCCAGGCGGCTTGTGTGCTGAACGTTACCAGTCTGACATGTATTTGTCAAGAAAAGTCTTGCTACAAGTAGTTCCCTAGTACACCAAACTTGAGCTTTTTCCTACTCCTGGATTCTGTTAAAACGTGTTTTGAAAGAAAAGAAAACAAACCAAAAACACTTCTTGATGAAAATTCTGCTGCCCTAATCAAGCCTTACAGAATATTAGTTCCCACAATATTCCTGGTGTATTCCCTCAGAGGTGATAATCACTGACATTTACCAAGCATTTACCAATTGTGAAGAGATGCTCTGCTAAACATCTTCAAAAGACTCCTCATAGTTTTACATCTTCCTTCATCTTCCTATGACAGCATGCAGGCCTGTAAATCAATGAAAGTATTGGTTTCTCCTCGTGATTAGGTTAAAGTATCTGTGGAACAAATATTACTGGCCACTGTAACCAGTCTTTTTACAACTGCCTTTAGTCAATGCTTTTAAGCCCTCTCAGTTTCTCGTGGGGATATACGTAATGCACAGTTCCTTAATTTTGGTGTAAATGTCAGCAGCGTGTGGGGCTTTCTACTTTTCCCTTGATTAAAGAACCCCTGACATCCTGGTGTAGCCTTGCACTGGGACCCAGCTCAGCCTTCACAGCTTGAGTGAAGAAGCCCTACCCAGCTTCGCATTGGTTCAGAGGCTGAGAATGCTGGAAATGTGGACCTGGCCAAGTAACAAAACTCTGACTGAAAACCCTGCTGACAACAGGGATGGGGAGCAATCTGCTGCTGGAATTCAAGTTACTCTGATGGGTGGGCACACGGACTGCGTGCAGTAACTTGGACAAAGTGGTCTGGTGTAGGGAGTGACTGACCGAGCATGGCGTGACACTGCTGATAACGCGTATTAGAACTTGGAGGGTGCGGCAGGTGAGAGATGAAATCTGGCTCTCTAGGGCTGCCCTGGCACTACCTGGAAAAGACTGTAGAAGACAAGGATGCAGTGTGTGAAGCTGCAGATACTCTTCTACCACTTGTGTGCCTGTCTGTTGTCAGGATTCACTGGCTGGAACAACGCTGAAATATCCCATCCCTTAGTCCTACTTTTGGAGGAGGGGGAATGCCTCTGCTAGTGGTGGGGAACCTCTTAATACACCCTGTGCTTCCTACAAGATGCCCCCAAACGAAAGAGGTTCAGTGTTGGGAGGCTTTGTCTATATTCTTTGAAGCTCCAATCTATGGAAGTGCTTTGAGTTCTGCACAGAAGGAGGGCAATTTTTTCTTTCTACTCAAATATGCATATTCTTCCTCTTTTTTGCTCAGACAGGAAGAGTCATCGTCTTTTATGGCATTATGAAATGAACAGCATCATCTAGACCAACCTGGCTTCTGAGTCTAATTAAAGCCACACCATATTTTGTCGCAAAATCTAGGAGTCAATTACCTAAGCAGCAGTTTAGCTAAATTCAAGGTTAATTCTGAGCAGACGTGGGGAATGCTGAAATAAGGAACTAAATTAAGTCTACTTGAAATAATGAAATTGATCTTGATTTTTTTTTTTTAATAACAATACGAAGACATCTTCTGAACCTCTTAGATCTCACAATGGCATTTAATGTCATTTTTTATTTTATCCAGACAGGCTCAAATACGAGAAAAATAACTATTTCTTTTGCAATGTTTGTGTTGCTGGACTTTACTAGTCCTTAAGATCAGTAGCTTTCCTCAAAGATTTTGGCTTCATGAAATCAGTCTAATGGAAAGTAAGAATCAATTGATAGAACTGAAGCAACATTCAGTCATTACCTTGTTTCCTTTAGGACATGCTAAAATGAAGGAATCCTATCTAATAAATCTCTAACATAGATTAATCCATATGTTGTAGTAAAAGAAGATACTTTAATGCTCAAATTAATCATTAATGAAATCAATGTTTGGTAGTTTTCAGTTAAGTCACGGATTAATGTCTATAGAATAAAAACAAAATGTTCGTAAAAGACTAACAGCTGCCTTAATATCAAGACATGTTTGAAAGGATGAGAAAAATCTTTTTTTCTTAAACTAACATTCAATATCTGCAAATTATACCTTCCCCTTTCTCTGCCTCAATTTGCTTTCCATACTGTTGACTACATGCTTTGGACAAGCTAACAAGGATGGAAAAAACCTGTGGTGTTTTGGGAAGGTGAAGTGGCATGAAAAAAACAAGAATGTAAGGCTTGTTTTCATCTTTGTCCCACATAGCCATGTCCTGCTAGTACTACAGTGTAATGAGCACTTGTGATGGTGTCTAGCTTAAGATTTGTGGTGGTCGTCTGTATTTTGAAGTGTAGTTTGTGGGGCCTTTTGATCTATTTCATATGATGATGAAAGTTAAACTCGTTCTCATATAAGCAGAGATTCTTACAAAGCTTGAAAACATTGTCTGAGAGCTCGTTAAAGGGTCAGAAATCTTCTTGGCAAGGAGGAAGGTTCACTGGGCCGCCTCCTGCTTCTCCGACCTCCCTAACAATTATGGTCCAGGACTGTTGGAGAGCTTAGGGCTAGTATCACTGCTCCGTAGGGCATTGCAGAGAAGTTACTGCTTATTAGGTATGAAAATCATTTATTAGAAATGCGAACAGGAGGTATCTCTTCAGCTTTGTTAGTCTTATCTTCTAGTGTCACCCTCCTCATCCTCCCTTCCTCCCGTTCTGGTAGGCTTCCTGTTGCCCCATGTCGGGGAATACCTGGTCATTTAAACTAAGTATAATTATGAAATGTGGAAATGAATAGTGCTAGTACTGTGGTAGAACAGTGTTTATGTGGTCCCTTTAGCATTTGTTTTCTATGAGATCTTAAGAGTTTTCCTCCTTTAATGGTATAAAAATCACTGCTATTTTTCCAACTTCTTTATTACTGCTGGTTATAATGATAATTAGGCATTTATTATTATAAAATAAGCTATATTAGCAATTTGCCTTGAATCAAGGCAAGTTGCTTACTGTAATTGACTTACTGTAATTGAACACTGATGTTTACTTTTAGGAGAATCTGATCTCAATGTAGCAATAACAGAAGCAGGAAAAACCTATGAAGAAATCGCCAGTCTTGTAGCAGATCAGGTAGGAGTATTATGAATGCATTGGCGTAGTGTGGACAAACGTAGCACCTATTTGGATCACTACTTCTGACTTTTTCTTTTCTGTTAAAATGTAACAGCTAGTGTTGCAGACCACTTAAATGAAGTGACTATTAATACTTTTAAATGCACTTTCATCTTCTTTTCTACTATGTATCAGCTTAGGGGTGATGAGATGGGAAGGTATTTCTCTTGGACCAGAAAGCTTATGTTCTGATTTCTAAAATAGTAAAATGATTACTACCTCTTTAAATGTGTGTGTTTTGTGATGTTGGTGAGCTGTCTTCATTACTGATACAACAGAATGAGATTTAATCAAGGATAGGGTTTCCACCTTCCCCATGCGTTCCCCAGATGTCTACAGGATCTGGTTCTTGCTGTATTTCCCTGTCTGGACATGCGGTTGCCTGCTTCAGTAACAATGTAGCTTAAATAAATCCTGATTTGGTGTCAGTATTCAAGTCATAAATTGATGTTTAGTATATTAAGTTTGGAGTCCCCAAAACGCAAATACTTTTGATCTGAAGGTTGAGTCTGGAAGTTCTTAAAACAGCTTTTCAAGTCAGCGACTAAGGAGATGCGCCTGTGCACGTACATATCTGTATGTGGAATGAGATTGTTGCTTAACAGTGCTATTGCTAGGACTGGTAACTCCTCTTCAATGAAAATTTGAGGTAAAACCCCTCACTTCATAAGCTAGTGTTAAATAAAACAAGCAAGGGACATCTGCTCACTGGTGCTTACTCCAAAGAGCTTGTATTTTAATAGGAACCTTTTTTAAATAAGAAAAACTTGCAGCAAACAATTTAGATTTTGGGTCGGGTTTCTTCTATTTTTTCCTTCCCTTTTTTCCCCTCACCCTTTTTTGGCATAATAGTTTCTCTTCTGTGATGTTAATATGCCACAGATACTTTTCCTAATGCTTACGCTTTGTTTATTAGCCGAAGAAAGATCTTCACTTTTTGATGGAAACAAATCATGAATATAAGGGATTTCTTGGTTGCTTCCCTGACATCATCGGCGCTCATAAGGTATGTGATGGGCCTTTGCTTTTAAGGGTTGGGGAGCAGGAAGACCTGCAGCAACGGAGGTGGTGGTATGGTACGCTGTGTTTGTGCAGTAGTCTGGTCCCTGCTCACAGAAACACTGAAAGTTTCTGTGAAATTGTCATGTTGATTTTTAAAATAAAAAATACTTAGAGGGGATGGAAGCTGTAACTTGTCTCAAGATTTGAGAACATCATGACTTTCTGCTGTAGCAGAACACTAGAAGCTTCATGATTTTCTTCAGGTTAACTTTGTGTCCCAGTGTGGTGAATAGCAGTAGTGTAAATTTGTAGTATGAGTTTTACATGGCAGTTGGTACTAAACCATACCAGTATTGTAGGAAAAACTGTGTACACATACATGGCTGGCTTACTGATATGTGATAAATAATCATGCACTGCCTAGAAGTTTCTGTAATGTTAAAAAAAGAAAATAGGGCTAATTTTTCTGGGGGAAAAAACCCAAACAAAACACCACCAAAAAAAACCACAACTACTTTGTTCTCTGTAATACGAAAATAATCAAATAATAAAACAATAAACTTAGCCGTTGTGTCTAGGTATAGATATTCTGCTCTTTTTTTTTATCGTCCTAGAATTTTCTTTATGCTTATGTGCCTGCTGTAACACATCTCAGGAAACTAAAAACTTTGAAGTATTAAACAAGTACACAAGGGTGGTTTGGGTTTTTTTTTTCACCCCTTGAAGTGTTAAATGCATAAAATGAGAACATAATTCTGACAGCAACAAAGATAAAAGCATATCAGATTTCTGTATTCTTTCTTCAGGACACTTATGGTCCCACATCCCACAGAATCCTTGGGGAAAAATACAAGAGGACAAGAAATGTTCTTAGAACTTGAAACATAAGCCTATTGCCAAGAGATGTGTAAATAGATTGTCTTGAATGTCGTTTGGCACAAATACATTGAGAAGGGGGAGGCATTTCTTTTTATGCTTGTTTGTGACACAAGGATTTTCCTGGATCAAAAGTCATACAATGCAGTGGGTTGTAGTCTCTTGGAAAACAGCATATGTTGTCTCATCTTGTATAATGTGCTAATAAGGTCTTACAGGCATTTGATAGTTTGAGGCTTTTTAGATGTATGTTGTGTTGAACCTTGGTCCTTTTGTGCTTTATATGTATATCTCCTTGTATATTGCTGCCTTTACCACACTCAGTTTCCTGGAGATAGTGTTCATGCCTGTGTTTTAAGTCACTATTTGCAAGGTGTTAGGACTCTTCAAAGCAATAGAGCAAAATAAGAAACTTCAGGTGAAGAAAATGTGGGAAGGCAGAATTGGTCGGGGGATGTGTGTGTAGATATGAGTGTATATAGTGTACAAGCTCAAAACGTGGCCAGTGATGTTTTAGATGACTATAAAGTCCTTTAAGTTGACTACTCTTTTAATGTACTTTTTTAATCTTTCTGCATTTGGTTTCTACAGGGAGCAATAGAAAGAGTGAAGGAAAGTGATAAATTAGTTGCAACCAGTAAAATAACACCTCAAGACAAACAGAACATGGTGAAACGTGTGAGCACCATGGCTTATGCACTACAAGGTAAATCGAATTTTGGACTACATGGAAGTGTCATAGCCCTCTGAAGGATACCTCTTAAATAACAAACTTTGAAAGAGAATATTTCAGGAATGATAATAAGCGCTAGAGTTTTGGGGGGTTTTGTGACATTCTTAGAATTTCCTAAAATTGCAGCTATTTTGCCCATTGTTTTCTTTCAAATCTCATATTAGTATTGCAAAAGATACGTGTTTTGGAAATACAATTAAAAAAAAAACCACAACCACCCCAGACTGATTCTTTCATTTTGAAATGGTAATGTCTCTCAAAGAAAAAGCAGGGGCCCTGCAGCAGGAAGCACTTTGTCACGTGCAGAAGTGTTTTTCTGACTCATGGTTTAGTCAGACATGATCCAGTTGAGATAAAAATCTTATACACAACAACATTATTTCCTGGATGTTCTTTGAATGAACTTTTTCTACTTCAGGTTGGAGGTGTTGTAAATACGAGATGTAGCACACCACACTTGAAAACCGAGGAAGTGAGGAGTCTGGGCTCAGTCCTGCGGGACACCAAGCCCTTAAATGCAAAGTTACTGTTACTGACTTCAGCAGGACTGCTCATTGTTGAGTCACATCTTTTTTAGCTGACCTAAAGCCAAGAGTACTCAGTATTTTACAGGACAAAGTCAGAGCAGCACACAGATGATTTTAAAATCAAACAAGAAAATGGCCACCCCTCCTCCTTCCTGGTCACAGTGGTGCAAGAGGACTGTGCTGCATAAGTGGTAACCATGGGAAGAGACCTCTAGGATGAGTTTGACAGTCTAGAATATTTCTTCTCCCTCTATTAGTATCTCAGAAGATATTTAACTTCTTATTTTGGCCATAAGCTGTGTTCTGACAAGAGATGCAAAAAGTGGTGACAGGTGTTACAGACTCAGTGAATACTGTTTCTCAGGTTTCTACTGAAATGGCCTCAGGCAAGAATGAGTCAAACACTGCTAGCTGTATTTTTTTTTTTTTTTTGAGCTAAATATTTACAGCTGTGGCTTACCACCTGATATCTATACCCTTGGAAATCTGAATGTCCTAGCCAAATTCTGTTGCAAGTGCTTCAGGAAAGAGCAGTTACCTCAGTAGGAGAAAATCCTGCTTGTATTCTTTATCAAATCTTCGTACACCTGAGTATTGTAACAAGAACCTGGCTTTATCCAGGATGTGTCCCTGTTTGAGCAGGGAGTAACTGACACCCTACCAATTCTACAAACAGTTCCATCGTGACTTGAGTGCTGCAAGCAAAACAGGTTGTGGAAGCATGAGAACAGTAACTGCTGGCAGGGCTGGACACTGAGCTTGTTGCACAGTAACTAATCTGAACTGAGTGAGACTTCCTAATTAAAAATGCTTCTCTTAAATAATTTGCCTCCTGGGTCTAATTGCAGCTGAGATGAATCACTTCCACAGTAACCGGATTTATGACTACAACAGTGTCATTCGTCTGTATCTGGAGCAGCAGGCACAGTTTTATGAAACGGTAAGGTGTAGTATTTCAGTGCCATTTTTCTGGCACATCCTGTGCTACTGCTTTTATAGGAAATACTCACAGTACTTAATCGTCAATCCAGCTGGTGGCCAGTCACAAGTGGTGTGCCCCAGGGCTCGGTTTTGGGGCCAGTCTTGTTTAATATCTTTATCAATGATCTGGATGAGGGGATTGAGTGCTCCCTCAGTAAGTTTGCAGATGACACCAAGCTGGGCAGGAGTGTCAATCTGCTGGAGGGTAGGAAGGCTCTGCAGAGGGATCTGGACAAGCTGGATCGATGGGCCAAGGCCAACTGTATCAGGTTCAGCAAGGCCAAATAACAGGTCCTGCACTTGAGTCACAACAACCCCATGCAATGCTACAGGCTTGGGGAGGAGTGACTGGAAAGCTGCCCAGCAGAAAAGGATCTTGGGGTATTGGTCAACAGCTGGCTGAACAGGAGCCAGCAGTGTGCCCAGGTGGCCAAGAAGTCCAACGGCATCCTGGCTTGTCTCAGCTAGAGAACAAGTCTTATGAGGAGCGGCTGAGGGAGCTGAGGTTGTTTAGTCTGGAGAGCAGGAGTCTGAGGGGGGACCTTATCACTCTCTACAACCTCCTGAAAGGAGGTTGTAGTGAGGCAGGTGTGGGTCTCTTCTCCCAGGTAACTAGTGATAGGACAAGAGGCAATGGCCTCAAGTTGTGTCAGGGGAGGTTTAAATTGGGTATTAGGAAAAATTTCTTTACTGAAAGAGTGGTCAGGCATTGGAACAGGCTGCCTGGGGCAGTGGTGGAGTCTCCATCCCTGGAGGTGTTTAGAAAACGTGTAGATGTGGCACTTTGGGATATGGTTTGGTAGGCATGGTGGTGTTGGGTGGACGCTTGGACTTCATGATATTAGAGGTCTTTTCCAACCTATGATTCTATTATCTTTTTGTATGAGCCTCTCCCAGAGAGCAGATATTTCAAGAATTGTACATGTAAAAAAATTAAAAAACCAAAGAATGAATTAATGTTTTCCTATATATACTATCCTGTGTACATGACTACATCATATTAGACGTATTAGACCTGAAAACCAGTGTTGAGAAACATTATTGCTGACAGCTTGATTTTTTTACTTTTTTCTTTTAAATGCCAGTACTAAGGTTCCAAAGAATTTTAGTTCTGTGATATGCAGTAAGTAAGACTTGCTGCATTTAATACAACAAACATTTGAATGAAACTTTGCTCCCATAGCATGGGAGGACAGAGGGAAGCTTCTATGATTTGAAGCCTGCTGTATACAAGTGTGGGGTGGTGGCGACTGGCGTAGTTTAGGTGGCTTGCTAATAGATTAACTCTGAGCACTTGACCTACAACCTTAATTCTCATTTAACATTGTTCTTACGCTTGTATTCCTTGTGTTTTTTTTAAATGAAACTTGAGAATAAATTTTCTGATGTGATACGCTAGTAAAACGTGTGAGTTAGTGTGCTGGAACCTGAGTTCTATCACTTAAAGGAGTAATATATGCAACTGGTGTCCCTTCACAGCAGTAAATGGTGCCAGTGGGGCTTCAGAGGTGTCTTTCGTGTATGAGAACTTCAGGTCCTCCATCAGGTCACCTTGCTCAGTTTCTTTGACACATCTGATGGGTTTAGGCGTAGGTTTCTCCTTGCCTTCTTTCAGTCTCTTGTCCAGTCTATCCCAATTGTGGTTGCAGCCTCACCAGTCTCCTTGTACCAGTCCTCCCTCCCCCAGTACAGGGACCAGATCTGTGTTCACATGTGGGGTGCTGGCTACCATGAGAGCTGCAGGGGGAGCACAGCAGCTCTAGTCTGAGGCGTGGCCTTGTTTCAGCGGGGAAATGGATTTCATGAAAAACCTGGCTTGTTCCTGTAGCCCCCCTGCATAGTGCAGTGGGATGCAGGATGACGGTCCTGCTTATAGTGCCTGCTCCAACACAACCTGAGCGATGAAAGCACAAAATGCACAAGGTAGCAGGTGTATATACAAGAAGAAAAGTCTTTATAATTTAATGTTTTCAGTCCTACATACAGAAGATCTGCAGTAAAAACTAGTTTTTCAGAAAATGAGGGAACAATTCATGTAATTTCTAAGCCTGCCATTTTATTTCTGCATAGTGTCAAGTGACTACAGATTTAACATGTTCTGTTTCTTTGTTTCAGATTGCACAGAAGCTGAGGCAGGCACTCAGCCGCTTTCCTGTGATGTAGAGAATAAGGAGTAGTCAACAATAAAGAACAACTCCAAAGTGCTTTTCAGATTTGGGGGCGATGCCAATAAAAACTCTTTAGCCTTTGCCAGCCAAAAAACCCCACCAAATAAACCCCAACAACAACAGAAATCAGTTGTAGAAAAAAAATTACTTAAAATTTTACTTTATCAGCCTAAATCATGAGATAAGGTTCTCTTATCTTGAATGCTCTCCCATTCATAACATTGTTTAAGTGAGAACAGCTAGATAATGCTGTCGGTTTTGGCAATCTAAATTATCAAACTGATACGTTGCCATGGACTTCATGCAGACTTGCGTCTATCAGATGTTCTTCCAAAAAGTCTTGACCAACATCAGAGGTACAAATGTATATCATTAAGTGGGAAAGCAGGCAAGCTTGAGAAAATGACTTTAATACTCGCTATATTCAATTCAGCGCTCTAGTGATTCAGTAGCCAGGAGGAATTATATTCGTGTATGTTTCTGGTACATGTTCGTGATAATCTCCTGAAGGAACACTTTGTTCCAAGTTTTGCTTCCCATATGCAGCCATGGCATACTGCTCCCATTATGACTTCTGGTAAATATCATTCATTCTTCCCTTTCTCTTTTTTCCTTCTAACTAAATCTTGTATTTGTGGCACAGCACCTCAGAGCTTATGTCAGGCTCTTTCTTTCTCACTATGCACTGTATAAAAAGACAAAGTACAAGCAAGGAAAGAGCCATTCGGGAAGGTGTGGCAAGCAAGTTTTCCACACCAGCACTTTGACACCCCCCCCCGACACGATGCCGTAAGGCACTGGTGTTGCTCAGTGCTGCACAGGGCCAGCTTCCCTTTTACCTCTCTGAGAGTTTTAGGTGTTTCAGCAGAGGGGACACTGCCACATCTGACCCAAACTAGAAGTAGTCCCCAAATTCCAGGTAAGCTCAGGTCTTCATATGGTAGTATGGTATGTGGTTGGCTTGGGTTTACTTCTTGTCACCTTCTAATGCAAACAAAAAGGTGACAAAAGTACTGAATAACATCATTAGTTATCACACGAACTCTGTGCTTTGATCATCAAATCTTACCAAGCGGCCCAGTGTCCTCTTTAGTACTACTGAACTATCATTCGAGGCAAGGGCTTTTCAAAACAAAAAGCCACCACCAACCCTGTTCATAGTGGGCACCAACTACAGTAATTCATTTAATGCCATAAGCAAGCAGGGAAGCCAAAATGCAGTTTTTGCTAAAATGTGCCTAGAACATAAACATTTCAGCAAAAAAAAAAAAACATCTTTTTTTGAAAAAGGCATTTTACCAAGAAGCCATTCTAAGTGACGGGTACAGGCTGCTTGTTGAATAGTTGCCTTATTCTGTTTTGCATTGATGTTACTTTTGTGTGCTAGAAGGAAAATCTGGATCTGCCTGAATAACCTGAAACCAAACCAAACAAGACTAAGCCTAAGTCTGGATGCTTTTCAGTGTCACGGGTTTTGTTCATGTTTTATAAACCTTGTCTTTTTCTCCTCCCAATTTTAGTTGTTCGCTTCCAAAATTCCATAGCGCAGTGTTGTTTGATACAGCCATTTAAATATGTACAAATTGTAAAGAATGTGTATAAATGTTTTACACCAAATGTAAGATCTGCTTGCATGTAGAAGCAGCTTATATAATAAATTGTTACAATGTGTACAGTAAATTCTGAAATCACTTTTTCAAGCCAGCATTTTTTTAGCATTTGTATATTCACTTTTTGGTAATGAAATCTTTGTAACAGACTCTTAATTTGGGAGGGGGAAGGGGGGGATCTTTTTACCAATCTTTAAATAGCTCCATATGCACTGAGGTTGAAGGTTCTTTATCTTGAATAGATTGTTTTGGAATCTGAAGTGTAAGCTGTGCATTCCCAGTGCAGGGAAGCTATGACAGTAGCAACTGTATCAAAGACGCAACATTTCAGCGAGAAAGACGAACTGTTTGAAGACTTCTAGTAAAATGAAGTTAAACTGATAATAAATATTTATGTATATCCACAAGACTATTTTTTTTATTTGAAATCCTCACGTTGCTTCTTAACAGGGTGATACAGTATGAGGCAAATCCTCCTTGTAGCTTTTCATCAGCTTACAGACACTGGCCAGCTGAGGAATGAGAAAGCATCCATGTGCCTTCCGTAAAGCAGGCACCACAACCGAACAGTAGAATAGTGCTAGTGACTGCAAACCAGCAAAGGCTGCACACACGTTGTGAGCTTTCATTATTCAGGTCAGTCTGGCTCGTGGTTGATGGAACCCTCCTGACTGCAAATAAGTAGTAGAGCACAGTGCTACTGTGTATTCCTGGCTTTGTGTCAGCATGGTGTTGACCCAGAATAGAAATTAGATTGTCTTTGGTATTTGTTTTTTAAATTAAGCGTGAATAGTGGCATAGTTGGGTTGGATGAGTTGGGAGCAACAGAAAATCTTCACACTGAAGATGCAGTCATAAAACAAGAATAACAAGTTAGAGTGACTTGAGTGGTGCCCTCCTGCATTTCGTTTGTCATAGCTGGATGATTAATCTGTGGAGTATCAAAAGCCTTGGTACTGTTTCCTGGCTTGTGCTTTTCTTCGAGGGTGATGTATAGCCAAACACTGGCATTATCCCAGTGACTGTAAAAGACATCAAATGCCCTAGCTATTGGGTTTAACTTTTTATTTTATCTGCTTATTCCGTTACTGCTAAAACACCGAATTCATGTTTTAACAATAAAAATGTGGCTACACAATGGGGAATGCTACCCCTGTTTCTCATCTGCAATTATTAGGCTGCAGCAGCAGACGTTGTTGCAATGTATGGTGTGTTTTTGGAAGAGTACTGTCTACTGCCATTAGAAAGAGTATCCTTTAATGCTATAATAAGGCCTAACTTTGCATGAGTACTGAAATTTTTACATTACTGAGCAATATCTGCTTTCTATGACAAAGTACTTGATAAAGTATTGCCATGACATACACTTTATTATGTAAATTCTGATTAAATAATATACAGCAATTTTACTGTTACCAAAATGGGTCTTGTTTAGTGCAGCAGAGTAATTCAGACCAACAGCCTTGTAAAGAAAGAGATGCATCTCTCTTGTGCTGTGGTTTAGTTTGACATATGCCAGACACTCTGCCAGTCTGGGTTCGCCAGAAGTCCTCTGCAGCCTCGCGGCGCGCAGCCGTCGGCGGGAAGCGGAGCGCTCCTGCCTCTGCCTGCCTGGTGCTTCACACCGAGGTGTGTAAGCACACGCGTGGGGGAGTTGTGGGGGGGTCTGCGGTCGGCTGTGTTTTTCACTCTACATACTTCCCATATTTTTCTGTATCTCTTCTGATAAAGTTAACACTAATAACTGGTATAATAGCAAACAACTACAAAACAGGAGAGGCAATCACTTGGCAGAAAAAAAAACACCCTTTGTTTCTGTCTAAAGAATCCCTAACAAAAACCACCTCGTAGAATTGGAAACACACAGGCTGGCTGGAGACCAATCCACCTGTCCCGCATTGTGGCAGCGTCAGTTACACCAATGCTATTTTACAGGACAGCTGAGTCACAAATGCATATATTCTTGGAATCTTGGAGATTCCACAATATGCCAGCGTAGCCCTTTCCAGTAAATCAGCATGTTATCACCTAAAGAGCTTTCCCTTACACACGTCATCAGTTCTGTGCATTGTGTGTGTATGAAATGCTCCCTCTAAGCTGGAGTTTTCATTAACTAGAACAGTTAACCAACGTATCTAATTTTTACATATTAGGGGTCTTGCCATATACCTTCAGCAATGTTTTTAACATAAACCATGCTGGATTAATAATTCTTTCCTCATGCTGAAGTATATCACCTTTCTTCCCTGGGTGCATAAAACCAATCTGTTCTCTTGCTCCTGCCAGTTGTGTCGATGCACGCCAGGGTGAGGACTGTAGTTCCCACCCTTCCAACGGCGTCCCACTGCCGGCTCTTCGGTTAAGGCTATCGATGCCCGTGTTGCTGCCTGGCTGCATGACTTCCATACACTGGTCAAATACTATACGTAGAGCTTCGTGCATCTGTCACGAATGAAATACAATTCCCAACCACATTTTCGATTTAGAATTATCAGTTCTGTCTGTATTTGCAACCCAGACCTAGTTTGGGGTTTTTTTTGCATTTAATAAACTTGTGTTATATTCCAATTGTTTAATAGACTCTTAGTGTAAGTTTTCAACTCATTTTTTGGCTACCTTGTCATCATATTTAGACTGTTATCTTGAATATCTTGTGAGATTTGAATGTGAGAAAATTGTCAAAATTATTTCTAAACCCCTTCTGTTTGCATCTCTATATCCCTGTTTTTAATTATGCTAATCTTCCAGTCAAAGGATATCTGACTATTTACACAGGTTCTTCTCAACAAACTCAGATTATCTGGGTTTTGCCCTTCTCTCCCCGCCCTTTGCAGCATCTTTGCTGACACAAGTCAGTATCTTTGGGATACTGAATTTAAACTGACATAATTCCTCATTTTATAAAGATAAAAAATATGTTTGCCTGTTTTTAACTTTCTGGGCCTTTGAATCTTTCCTAATTGGTCATGCTTTCTTAAACTGTCATAATTTTTTTGCCTTCCTTCAGACTCCAGGTAGTATGCCTATCGCCTTGCTGCTGAATGTTCTGAACTCTATGTTCTTGTCCTCTACAGAGTTAATAACGATTTTCTTCGTGATAGACTTGAATAGTTTCTTTGAACCAGTCCTGTCAATCTGAAGCCAGCTTTCTCATGTTGACTAAACACTGTTTGTCCCTTATTCTGGCCTGGGGCTGTATTCTCCTATTAAAATACACTTTTCTGTCAGAGCTAAAGCAAGAAGGTGTATCACATTTATTATTTTCTGTTAACAACAGACTTTTGCTTCCCCTGCTTTTCATCTTATATCTAGCATCTTTAAAGACCATTAGTTTCTGAAACTTATTTGCTGATAAACTTATTTTGCCTTAGCAACATTTATCAATTCAAGGTCACTTTTAATTCACATTGTCTTCTGTTGCAATCAAATCTCAGTAGATCCAAATCTAAAAGTGTTACTCTTCACTGGTATCTTATCTTCTGGCA